GAACTGACCACAAGACTTCTACGACCGCTGGGCATCAGAGTGACACACAAGCCCACATCAACCCTACGACAAGTGCTCACCCGAACTAAAGACCCACTCCCTGCCATGGACAGGACCAATGTCATCTACAAGATCCCCTGCAGAGACTGTGAGAAACACTACATCGGACAAACAGGAAGGAAACTAACAACAAGAGTACATGAACACCAACTGGCTACAAAAAGACACGACCAATAATCACTCATCTCAATCCACATGGACAAGGAGAACCACGACTTCGACTGGGACAACACCAAGATCCTGGGACAGGCTAGGCAGAGACAAGCACGAGAATTCCTGGAAGCCTGGCACTCCACAAAGCATGCTATTAATAAACACATTGAACTCGACCCCATATACATTCCACTATGGAGGAAACCCGGAAGTGAGGCAATCCATCGCAACGGACCCCAGAGTTTAAAAACCAGGCGGGAAAACACACTGACACTTCATCAGAGGCTGCACTGAGGATGTTACCAAGCACAGTAACGAAACGTCTGCAGAACAACAAACCAGCTCGGCGAGCCAACCAACCTCAACAGTATATCCTTTCTTAAATTCAGGTACCAGAACTGTACACAATGCTCTAGGTGCGGCCTTACCGATATCCTGTAGAGTTGTAGCAAGACTTCCCTAATTTTAAACTCCAAATCCCTAGCAATAAAGTATAGTTTCAGTTGCTTTCTTAATTACTTGTTGCACCTGTATGCTGACTTTGTGTGTTTCATGCACTTGAACACTGAGATCTGTTTGTACTTTGGAGTCTGTCTCCATTTTAAAAAAAGGAATCTACCTTTTGATTCTCCCAACCAAAGTGCATGCCCTCACGCTTTCCTACATTAAACTTTACAGGCTGAGTTTTTGCCCACTTGTTCAACCTATCCATATCCCCTTGCAGATTCGTTATGTTCTCATCATAGCATGCCATCCATGGAAAATGAAATTCTTTAATCCTGCCACCATACTTGACAGGGCCCTTAGCTGTATCTGACCCATTTCCCGCACTTTTGCCCTCACCCCCTGCTCTTCCCTCACACAACACCAATAAAGTCCCCCTAGTCCTCACTTTCCATCCCACCAGCATCTGCATGCAAAGTATCATAAGCTGCAAATTCTACCAACTCCAACAACATCTAATGTTCTGCACAGGGTCCCTTCAGCCTTCAGGACACAATAGCAAATTCAATAATTTTAGAACCTGAACACACCACCTATGTCCTTTACCCACCCTCCACACCCAGGTCCTGCTATGACTTGGGGTGCTTTCAGCACAACCAACCCATTTTCACCCACTTGTGGTCCTCATCATCTGCATTCCTTTCTCCCAGGCATATCATCTATCACTTTGTCTGCCTAACTGTCGTTCTTGTGCTCTCTCTCTCTGTCTTCCCCTCCCCTTCCTCTCTCTGTGCTCCATCTCTGCTATATCCACTCACTCCTCCCCCCAACCTTTTCCTAGGTACTATCAATTCTGTAGAAAGGTCACTGGACTGGAAGTGTTAATCCTGCTTTTTCTCCACAGATGCTGCCAGTCTGCTGAGTTTCTCCAGCGATTTCTGGTTTTATTTCAGATTTCCAGCATCCACAGTTCTTTGTTTTATTCATGTAGCATAATACGCATTATATCTTGAAAACCAACAAAATGACTCAGTTATGCCAACTCTCTGCTTCTTGTTGGCCAGCCAGTCTTCTATCCATGCCAATACAACACCCCTATACTACAAGCTTGTATGTTCTGCAATACCTTTGATATGGCACTGTATCAAATGTCTTCTGGAAAGCTAAGTACCATCCCCAACTCCCCTTTATTCACAACACAATTCACTTCCTCAAAGAGCACCCAGTAGATTGGTTAAGCATGATTTCCATTCACAAAACCATATTGACTCTGCCTTATTACCTTGAACTTATCCAAGTGCACTGCTGTAACTTCTTTCATAATGCTTCCTTTTTCTTATGACACATGTTAAGCTAACTAGCCTGTAATTTTCCTCTTTGTCTTTCCACCTCCTTCGCAATTAATTCACCATAACTCACTTCCCTATAAGACCGATGTACACTTTGTTAACTCATTGCATGTTAAAATATTTATATAAATCTTACTATCTGTTTTAGTATTTCACTTGTGGTTCAAGTTTTCCATATTTATTAATTTGTTTAGTTATTCTTTACTGTTTCTTTTTTCTGTTTTATATATATGTATATATAAATATAATATATATATCTACTGTTCTATTCCTCTGACTTGCCACTTATCTTTAGCACAATTGTATGGTTTTTTTTTCTTCAAATTTGACACTGTTGTTAACCTTTCTAGTTAATTCATAGATGGTGGGTTTGTCTTTTGGAATTTGTTACTTGCTGGAATATATCTAGTCTGTGTGTTCTGAAATATCTTCTTAGAAGTTTGTCGTTGCATCTCTATTCACCCATCTTTTAACCGATTTTGACAATTTACTTTGGGCAGTCCTGTTTTCATGACCTCAATTGTTCTTATTTAAATTTTAAAATGCTTGCACCCATTTCTCACTCCCTCAAATAGAATGTAAAATTAAGGCATATTCTGCTTGCTGCTACTTGTCTTGTTGCAAAATACATGGAGTGATATAACTTGGTCTCTGATCAGCTCTAGAACATGCTGATTTTAGAATGTCTTCAGGATAGTTTCTATGAACTTATCATCTTTTGTGCATCTGACTTTTCCATTCTATACGTAGATTGAAATCTCCTGTGATTATTACCCTGCTTTTCTGACAAACCATTATTTTTCCTTTTATGCACTAGTTTACTCCGTGGTTATTGTTAGAGGGCCAGCATCCCATTCCCACAAATCATTCATTGATTGTTCAATCGTACCCAAATCTTGGCTTCCTGAACTTGGGTAATCCTTCTTTATTTATCTAATACCATCATTAATTAACAGAGCCAACCTCTCCATCTTTTCCTAGCTTCCTGCCCTTTCCAAATGTCCTGTACTCTTCAAGATTCAGGTCCCAGTCCATGTCATCCTGAAGCCATGTATGTAATGGTTATCAGATTGTAGTTATCTATTTCTATTTGTGCATTCAGTTCATCGGTTTTGTTTCAAAAGCTACATGCATTCAGATAGAGTCTTTAAGTTTTACCCTGTCATTTTATAATGTCAAATCTTATCAATTGATTTGCAATTAGATTTATGTTTTCTGTCATTATTATCACTTCCCACATTAGGGGAGGTGATGACCTAGTGGTATTAATGCTGGACTGTTAATCAAAAGGCCCAGATAACGTCCTGGGGACCCGGGTTTGAATGCCACTATGGCAGATAGTGGAATTTGAATTCAATAAAGATATCTGGAATTAAGGATCTAATGATAACCATGAATCCATTGTCAGTTGTCAGCAATACCCATCTGGTTCACTAATGTCCTTTAGGGAAGGAAACTTACCTGATCTGGCCTACGTGTGACTCCAGACCCACAGCAATGTGGTTGACTCTGAACTGCCCTCTGGGCAATTAGGGATGGGCAATAAATGCTGCCTAGCGAAGCCCTCATTAATGAATAAATTTTTAAAAATTAATTCCGTCCTCTTTGCCTTGTCTGTACTCATTAATTAGGGGCCCTGGACAGCTAGCTTGCAATGCAGAGTAACACCAACCCTGTGGATTCAATTCCCACACTGACTGAGATTACCATGAAGCATTCTTCTTCTCAGCCTCTCCCCTCACCCGAGATGTGATGACCCTTATGTTAAACCACCCACAGTCGTCTCTCTCTCTCTCTCTCTAACGAGAGAGCAGCTTTATAGTGTGAAAGGACTACGGCAACTTTACCTTTCCTTTTACTCACTGATTTACCATATTTTCCCAAATTTAATCTGAAATTGCTGGAGAAGCTCAGCAGATCTGGCAGCATCTGTGAAGAGAAAGCAGGGTTAACATTTCAAGTCCAATGATTCTCCTTCAGAACAGTTTGTTTTTTTATTTATTATAGTTCCCAAATTTAATCCCTTGTGCTCACTTATTTCAAAATCTCTAAACGCTGAGACTTTAAAATGGAAAGTACAAAGTATTGCTCTTAAAATCTATTTCTTTGGTAAAACTCTTGATCACCCATCCCAGTAGTTCCATTAAACAAAATCAAAGAACTGCAGATGAAGAAAATCAGAAGCAAAAACAGAAATTACAAGAAAAACTCAACAGGTCTGGCAGCATCTTTGGAGAGAAAGCAGAGTTACCATTTCCAGTCCAGTGAAGAAAGGAGGCGATGGCCTACTGGTATTATCGCTAGACTGTTAATCCAGAAACTTGGCTAATGTTCTGGGGACCTGGGTTCAAATCCTGCCATGGCAGATGGTGGAATTTGAATTCAATAAAAAACAGTTTCAAATTAAGAATCTAATGAAGACTATGAAACCATTGCTGACTGTCAGGAAAAACCCATCTAGTTCACTAATGGAAAGAAATCTGCCATCTGGCCTACATGTGACTCCAGACTCTCAGGTGCCCTCTGTGCAATTAGAAATCGGCAATGAATGCTTGCCTTACCAGAGATGCCTACATCCTCTGAATGAATAATGAAAAACATCCCTCTGTTGGAATCCAAAGAGTAAGGAGATATCTTTATCCATGTGAATGGGATACATTCTTTAGATTTCTTTTCCAAGTATTTACTTTCCTAGCTGAAGTAACATGCTGTGTCTTTGGGACTCTGGAATTCCCAGTTCACAATGGGATAGTTCCTCCCTGTTGTTGCTGGGGCTAATGTAGATTGAAAATGCTGTCTGTTCCTGTCCAGGATTCTTTTGGATATTTAATTGCTGAATTATATTTCTCTGTCTCTTTTCAGTAGTGTGATGGGCAAGCGTTGTCAGAATCTGCTTCTTCAAATATACTTCCAAGTTGTAGAGGTTATCCGCCATGTCAATCTCCCAGACTCCGTGCTAACCAGTGATGGCACCACTGATGGAAGTACCTGCAAGGTATTAATGTCTTCAGGAACAGTGTCCTCCTTGGGCACTACGTTTTTCAGAATGAGCAGCATCAGTGTCACTGTGGTGAGGGTTTCATGGAATCATACAGAATAGGAGACCATTAAGTCAAGGTTTCCTGTCTCAGCTCTCTGAAAGAGCTGTCCACATAGTTCAGCCTCATTTCTTTCTCCTGAGTCCTACAAATATTTCAGCCTCAAATACAATACCTAATTCTCTTTCACTTGTTGAAACTGCTGCCACCACTCTTTCGGTTCAAGTCAGATCTGAATTTTTTTCTGAGCGTTTTTCCAATGTTCAAAAGCTACCACTGTTTAAAGAGTGTAATTTTAAAAAATTACTAAAGGGAACACATTAATGTGTGTCTTTCTGAGGAGTAAGTCCATCATTAGCAAGTTTTGTAAGAAATATACATTTATTGTAGAATACTTTGATAACAGCATATTAATGCAGCTATTGCAAGTTTTGTATGTGATGTTCCATGTTGCATTCTGCCTTCTTGATAGCACTGTTCTAAGTGTGAGAGCATTATATCGTATCTTAAATATTAAATCACCTATACAACAGGATTATACTCGGGTTAACCTGATTTTTAATAACACTTAGCAGTCAATCCAGGTGTTATATCAGACCTGAACCTAATCTGTTATATATTCTGTCCTAATGGGCGGCAGCAGCAGTGCTTCACTGCCCTAGGTTCAAATGTAGCTTCCTGTTGTTCAACTGGTTGCTGCTGACTGGTGTTCTGACCATAAATAGCAACCCCTAGAGTTGGTTTCTGGCTATTGAAACAGTTTTGGGTGAGCAGCTTTTACAAACACGTTTTCTTCTTTCCCAGCTGGACGCACTCGTGCATCGGTTGCTGACGCTGCTCGCAGACACCAATGACTCGAAAACATCGGAGAACCGTATGGCAGATGCCAACATGGCCTGCAGAAAGTTGGCAGTGGCACATCCCGTTTTATTGCTTCGGTATTAATATTACACTTTTAAAGGATCCTTTTACTATAGTTAAAGGGCTCATTTTTGTTTTGCTGTTTATCTGATGCATGGGTTACTTGCTCATGATCGTTTTCACCTCTAATCTCTGACTCCCACTCTTTCGACATTCTTGTCTCTGTTCAGCACCAGAGCAATCCTTCCTTCTCTGAGCTACTCTTATACCAGTAGAGTAAGTAGGCGAGTAAATCTACCTAGGATAATGACAGATCAATTGTGCTCTTAGTCTTCTGCCAGTGGTGCTTTACTCCTGTCCCTCAAACCAAGCACACAATTCCAAATAAGATCCATATACATTGATCATGAAACTGCTGTAGCATCTATCTCTATTAGATTCCCATTAGCTAGGATTTCATTAATATTCATCATTAAAACAGATTATAATTTGGCCTAGCGGGGACACATGAAGAGATACAATAAGCAAGCCAGACATTTCTAGTATGTTGCATCGACTGGGATCTTTAGATTTTTGGTGGGTAAGGGTTTTAGGGGATATGGAGTAATGGTGAGTATATGGGATTGACGTACAGATCAGTTCATGATCTAGTGGAATTGTGGAAGGGGCTCTGGGCTGAATGGCCTACTTCTGTTCCAATGCATTTAACTTTTAGCTGATTTGCATGTGCTAAAACCTTACCTGTGAGTATTTGTGCTGAGCAACATTTTTCGGTATTTATTTTGTTTTACTTTTCAGACATTTGCCAATGATTGCTGCTCTGTTACATGGACGAGTTCATTTGAATTTTCAGGAGTTTCGCCAGCAGAACCATTTGATCTTCTTTCTGCATGTTCTGGGAATCCTGGAATTGTTGCAGCCGTATTTATTTCAGAGTGAGCACCAGGGGGCAATGCAGGACTGCCTTCTCTCCTTCATATTACTTCTGCAGGTCAGTGGAAGCCCAGCCAGAATATAAGAAGTCCATTCATAGGCCATTCCATCAAAGTGGTTTTGTTGCACCATTCTTTAAGATCAATCAGTATCTTAAGTCCATCCACGTGCCTTGCTTCTGTAATTCTTAAAACCCTTGCCTAACTAAAGTCTACCAGTCTCAGGTTTTAAATTTTAAATTGACTCTCCAGTCTCAGCTTTGAGTTCTATTTTTCTACCACTTCTGTGTATATAAGTGCCTCCTGACATCACTCCTGAACTGCCTCATTCTAATTTAAAGTCAAGCATCCTCCTTCTGGACTCCATTCCCTCCCAAAAATAACTTCCTTTCTAAACTTTAATTATTGTAAGCCTTTCAATTAGATCATTCTTAGTCTTGAACCTTTTAAGAAAAAGCTTCCAATAACTTTACTGGGAGGTTTAATGAGATGAAATAGCAAACAGGATTAGGCAAAGCTGAAATTTTGACACCTCATACTACTGCTATCAAAACAATGTCATGTACTTGTATAGCACCTAACATACAACAAGATCCTCTCTGCTGTTTCACAGAAAATCCTGAGAGTCTTAACACAGTATATGTGGAGAGGATGTTTCTTATGGGAGAATCTAGAACTGGGAGTCGCTGTTTGCTTGTTTAAAGCAGAGATAATGGGAAATTGTTTTGCCTTAGAATGTCATGGGTCTTTGGAACTCTCTTCCTCTGAAGGCATAGGAAACAGTCTGTGAATATTTTTAAAGGCAGAGATGGATTGATTCTTGGAAATCAAGGAGGTGAAAGGTTAATGGGGTAGGCAGTAATGTGGATTTGAAGTTACAGTGAGATTAGCCATGCTTGTATTAAATGGTAGAGCAAGCTCAAGGGACTGAATGGCCTCTCTTCCTTGTTTGTATGTTCACTAGGGATTGTTATCAAACAAGACTCGACACCAAGTCACAAAGAGAGATATTATGAATGTAAAATAGATTTCAAGAATAGTGCTTTATGTTTAATCCTGAGTTCTTTCCATTTCAAGACATATATGTATCTAAGCTTTGAAAGTGTACGGCAGAAGTATATTTGCTGCCAGCAATAAAGCTGAGCAATCTTAATCTTGATGGCTTTGTAAGTGGTGCATCCAGTTTATCCAATCAGTAACTTAGCAGTCCAAACTCTGAGGACCACGACTTCAGTCTCTAGATTGCCCTCAGTTATCATTTATGAGCCAGCACAGTGTTAAAGTATGTTCTGCAACAGGCCTTTGCACTCTGGTTTAGGGAGAAGAGATCAGATCAGGATTTTTAGTCGCTATTTGGCAATTCCTGACCAAATGTATTGGTGGCTGCTGAAGCATGAATCTAACTAGGCTGCAGTAATAAGCAGTTAACTAGTCTGAAGTCATACACTACCACAGTTTAGATCCGAATAGCTAACAGTGCTGGAAGGTGGCTAACAGCTGTGGAAGAGTATCACAGCTTAAATGGAGGAGGACAATACATGGGTAATTGTTGGGGGGAATAAGTATCACAGCTAAGAATCAAAACACTGACTGTCTTTGGATAATTTTGAATACTCTTTCTAACAGAATTACGGGAAGTACTCCAGACTGATTGCTTCTTTCATCAATAAATGCGTGCATTTTATTCACAAGTTTATAACCTACAATGCAGCAGCAGCTGTCCCATTCCTTCAGAAACATTCAGATGTGCTCCAGTGAGTATTTTGTTTGTTTTATTAAAAATTGAATAGTTGGAAGGAGGGATTAAGAAAGAATGCACCATTTAATGAGTCCTTTTGTTTTTATTCAATCATGGGACGTGGATGTTGTTGGCTGGGCCAGCATTTATTGCCCATCCCTTGTTCCCCTTTAGAAGGTGGTGGTGAGCTGCTGCCTTGAACCGCTGCAGTCCATGTGCTATAGGTAGACCCACAAAGCCCTTAGGGAGGGAATTCAAGGATTTTGACCCAGCGACAGTGATGGAACAGAAAATGTATTTCCAAGTCAGGATGGTGAGTGACTTGGAGGGGGATCTTGCAGGGGACTGCACTTGTGCTTCTGATGGCCGTGGTTGTGGATATGGAAGCTTGTAATCTAAAGTACCTCTTCTCTCCTGAAGCCATACTGAAATGTTTCAGAACGTAGATGGGCGAGTGGGTTGGTTTTCTACTTCTCTGCAATATCTGGATGGCCCATTCCCAAACTAGATACCCAGCGTGATTGTGAAATCAGAAGATCTCTTTTTCGCTACGTCTCAGTGTATATAGGAAATATACGGAATGTAATGCAAACATCACCTGCCATAGCCATGTGTTTGACTTTGGATAAGAGCAGGGAAGGGGCAGCTATTTGCATGGTGCTTGACCGGGGAATGATGGCGGTAGTAGAGCAACATCAAAAAAGATAGTGTGCAGGCTTGGCCAAGTAAGACACGGAATGGCAGTCCGGATTTGGCCAATTGGACAGGAAGGGGACTGAACTGGGAACTGAGAATTGCAACTTAGCATGGCCTGAAGATCTAGCCAAGAACTGCAGAGGCTGAAAGATCTGAATGGTGAAGGTTCCTTGGAGTGGAATGGTGATAGTCCTCCAGAACCAAGTTAGCCACCTGAAAATGATTGTGTGGAGGGTCGGGGTTATGACCCCTTCATTCACCATACTGCTAAGTGATTGAACCAGTATGCTTGGTCAGGCCTTTGCTCAGGATGTTCGCCCAGATTAGAAATGATCGGAGAGATTGAAATAAAATTTCTGAATTTCCTCCAGTAAACCTCTAAAAAGCATCAAATTCTTGCAGAGGCAGCATCCAATGATGAAAGTTGTCACACCTGGGCCTTCAACATACTAAGCTGAAGTGGGAATGCATTGCAAGATGCGGTTAACAATAGGAATAATTGAATTTGGGACAGTGTTTCGAGTAGTTGATTATAATTCCTAACTGTGATGATGCGTGTATATATGTTGAGTGATAATTAGATCTAGCTGGCAATAACACTTGCTTGACCAAATTACATCCACAATCATTGGGCATGCTAGTTCATAGAATCCCTATAGTGGGAAGCAGGTAATTTAGCCCATCAAGTCCACCTCAACCCTCTGAAGAGCATCCCACCCAGACCCACCCTATCCCTGTAACCTTGCATTTCCTTTGACTAATCTACTTAACCTGCACATCCTTGGACACTATGGGCAATCTAGCATGACCAGTCCACGTAACCAGCACGTCTTCGGACCGTTGGAGGAAACCGGAGCACCTGGAGGAAACCCACGCAGACGTGGGGAGAATGTGCAAACTCCACACAGACAGTCGCTTGAGGGTGGAATCAAACCCAGGTCCCTGGCGCTGTGAGGCAGCAGTGCTAACCACTGAGCCACCACGCCTCCCCAGTCGAGTGAGATGCCATTAACTGAGTGCCTGAGGACAGGTTTGAGAGCACAGAGTAAACGATCACTGACATTTAGTCAGAAATTGGTTGGTTTTTCCTAAGCCGTGTTATGGTGCAGTTGTAAAGGAAGACTTGCATTTAAATCGTGTATTTCAAATGTTGCAACATGCTACAAGAAATTCACAGGATTCTGTTGATGCAAAGCAAGTCCATGACTATGATCTCCCACAGTGAGTTAATCAATCTGCTGTGCCTTGCATGAGGTATAATACGTCAAATGCTGATCGGCCTTTGCCCAGCAATGACCAGCTTGGCAGTTGCCTGGATCAGCTGTACTCATTTGTCAGTGTGAACACTGGAGGTCCTGGAGCAGGCAAGAAATCGTCTTTTAAAATATGAGCCTTTGGAGGATATCTGCCTCCCTTCTCCAACCCGTCCAATTCCCTAAATCCTACCCTACCAAGACACAAAATCTCTTCTTTTCAAAGTCACGCGTTTGTTTTTTTGACATTTGATACAGTTACCTATCACGGGAATATCCAGAGATGGCTCTGCTGAAGTCCCTGCTGGCCGGATTAACACTCCCAACTCGGAGTGGACTCATTGAGGAGAATGCAGACGATGAAGATGGGGGTGAGTTCTTGACTCCTCATTAATTAAAATAATAAAAATCAAGTGTTTTGAGCTGTTGGCAGTAGTGGGTGGGATGGCATTTAGTGCGGGAATGAGGCTTTTTTTGTACCTGTTAAGGAATCATCTCTGTTACAAAGTCCAGCTCTATCATTTGAAGTACTTCATGCATTTTTTTCATGCAAGTATCCTTCCAAAACACTTGTAATCTGGGACAATAAAACAAAATAAACCAGGGAGACTTGCATTTATTAGCCACTTTGTGACCTTGGCCGTCCTCAAAATGTTTTATGCTGTTGTATAGTAGAAAAAATAGCAGCCAGTTTGCATACAGCAAGCTCCCATAATCAGCAATATGCTTTTTGTCTATGGGGATGCAGTTAAGGCCGATAATTGCCCAGGACACTGAGGAGAATTTCCCCTCATCTTCTTTGAAGTACTGGCAAAGAATCTTTTCTGCTGGCTTGTGTAGCTTCAGTTTAACATCTCATGCTTTGGATGAGACTTTCGGCAGTATAGCACTCCCTCAGTACTACATTGGAATGCCAGTTTTAGTTTTAAGTCTCTGAAGTAATATTTGACCCCAACCACCTGACTATAGAACTAAGAGTGTTAGTCACTGAGACCGCACTGGTGAATTGAAATTGCTGAAACTCGCTGTATCTCTGCAAAGTCTGCCTGCTTTCGTACTCAATTAATTACTTTGAATAGCCTCATTTGTTGTGTCAGCCAATTTAATTGGCAGCAAGAATCAGGCGGTTTCTTTCCTTTCTCCTTCTCTTTCGAACCCTGGAAATAGTTGAGCTTTATTTATTTAGTTAGGAAGCCAGCTGCTGTCTATAAATGATGTCCTTAACATAGTGTCCAAGCTTTAAAGTAAAACAAAGAACTTCAGTGCTGGAGATCTGAAACAAAAACAGGAATTACTGGAGAAACTCAGCAAGTCTGGCAGCATCTCTGCACAGATACTGCCAGATTTGCTGAGTTTTTCCAGCAATTTGTTTTTGTGTCCAAGCTTTACTTCATAAATGGAATCAGAAGCGAGGAGAGGAATTAATGTAGAGAATTACAGGCACAAGCCATGTCATTTGTCAGTCTGTGATGAATCGTCCAGCAGAAGCTTTCACCCCAGAGTGAGGAGCTTGTATTTGATACTTCTCTAGTTTCTAATTGCATGTTTTTAAAAAAAAAATCTCTCTCTTGCACATACAGAGGAAGAAGCCGCAGGCTCCCTCCCACTAGTCAGTTTTTCTGCTATAACACCAATAACCTCAGCTGAAGTGGCACCATATCTCCAAAAGATTGCAAGAGGCCGTGCCCTAGAAGGTAAGCCCTTCAGTGTAACCTGTAGGTTTAAACAGAAGCTGGATAGATACATGAGAGAGAAAGGAAAAAGGATGTGATGATAAGGTAGACCAACTAGCAATGCGTAGTGTGCCCTTTACATTAAAAAATTATTTGTATTTTTGTAGCACCTTTCACAATGAAGTACTTTGAAACGTGGTCAGCAGTGTAATGCAGGAGCTTAATGTAAAACAAGGACAATTTTATAGAACGAAAGGGACCTGCATACAGATTTCTTTGGGTGCAAAATAATTTCATGTAGCAGTGGTTCTAAAGTGGAAATCATAGAATCCCTACAGTGTGGAGGCAGGCTATTCGGCCCATCAAGTCCACACCGACCCTGTGAAGAGCATCCCAACGAGACCAACCCCTTACCCTATCTCTGCATTTCCCACCCTCAACACAACGGGCAATTTAGCATGGCCAATCCACCTAACCTGCATATCTCTGGACTGTAGAAGGAAACCGGAGCACCCAGAGGAAACCCACACAGACATGGGGAGAACTCCGTACAGGCAGTCGCCCGAGGCTGGAATCGAACCCAGGTCCCTGGCGCTGTGAGGCAACAGTGCTAACCACTGAGCCACCGTGCCAGAAATAATGTTATCCTGATGCCAAACAGCTCTACCATACACACAGTACAGTACCGCTGTAGCATAATGGTCTTAGAATCATAAGAGGTCGACAGCATAAAAAAGGCCGTCAGCCCATTGATACTGCGCTGGTCAAAATCAGCTACCTAACTATTCTAATCCTATTTTTCAACATTTGGCCCATGGCTGTATGCTTGTCATCGCAAACGCACATCTAAATACTTCTTAAATGTTATGAGGGATTCTGCCTCCACCACCCTTAGAGTTCCACATTTCCACCATCTTCTGAGTGGAAAAAATTTTCCTCTCAGCCCTTACCTCAAATATATGCCCCTGGTCATTGATTCCTTTGCCAAGGGGAAAAGACATTTTCCTGTCTATCCTATTAATGCGTTGTGTAATTTTATACATCTCAATCATGTCCCACCTCAGTCTTTTCTGCTCCAAGGAAAACAACTCCAGTCTAACCAATTTCTATTCATAACTGAAATTCTCCAGCCCAGGTGACATCCTGGTAATTTTCTTCAGCACCCTGTCCAGTGCAATCACATCCCTCTTGTACTGTGGATTCCAGAACTGCACATAGTGCTCTAGCTGTGGCCTAACCAACATTTTATGCAGTTCTAGCACTACCTCCCTGCTCTTCAACACTATGCATATAGAATATAAACTCCTTTCCCCAGAGCCTTAATAAGGGCCTTTAAGTTACTACTTGAGTAAAGTCACCACTGTGTTACTGTACTAGTAATCTTGAGATGCAAGTTCAAATTCCAGGGTGTCAATTGTGGAATTTAAATTCAGTTAATTAAATAAATCTGGAGTGAAAAGGTGGTATCGTAATTTTGGCCGTATAACTATCGGCTTGTTGTACAAATCCATCTGTTTCGCTAATTTTCTTTAGGGAAGGAAATCTGCTGTCCTAACCCAGTCTCATCTTTGTGTGAACCCAGACCCATGCCAATATAGTTGATGCTTAACTGCCTTCTGAAATGGCCTAGCAAGTCACTCAGTTGTGTCAGATTATTATGAGATAATGTAATGATTTATGAAATAGTTCAGTGCCACATTCTAAAGCGCAGTTAAAGATGACCTATCCGGCGAATGAACAGGTAACAAAAAAGTGCAGCCCAATCAGCTGATGTGGCCCTAGACTACCAAAATTGGCAGTACACATCTGCAGCAAGATGAGTCTGGCAGCAGTGTACTTTCAAAGGCAAGATCTGTAATTGCTGTTCTTAGGTGTTTGAAAGCAGGAACTCGGAGGGGGAAGCTTGGTGTGGGATGGAAAACAAAAGAAGCTGACAGTCACACCATTATGCTAGAAAAAAACTGAGGTTGAATCAGAATTATGATATTACAAAAGACAAAGATGCTGTCATTCCCAATGTGCTGAGTGACATTGCATGCTGTGGGCCTTGTCAGAGCCGAATCCAGGGTGAAGGGCTCAGGAAGTAGAGGTGACCTTGTCCCTCTGTTTCTGATCACTCATGTGCTACATTGACCTGCATGAGAGAAAGCAGCATGTCATTGATTGTTTAGTGCTGCTTTTGGCTGTTGTGCTTGCCATAACGGAGGAGCAGGAAGTTTGTGGAAGAAAAATGAGGGAGGGGTGGGGCTACTCTAACGTAGATGTTGGAGAGTAAAATGGTGTATCTGGATGTTGGGTGTGATTCCTGAGTGCCAGGACCTAAGGTGGATGCATGATGCTGATGCTGCATTGAGTAATGTGTACAAGCTGTGGGAATGCATTCGCAGATGTTGAATGTCTTTGTGACATAGCTGTGCGGACTCTGAGTCCAGACGTGGAGAGCTAACTTCCCTGGCTATATCCTTCCTGCCTTGCATGTGGTCATGAATGGTCTCTTCTGTCCCCTCCGTACCTACCCACCCCACTGCCACCGCCCCCACTCCCCCGCCCTCCTCACCTCCCCCCAGATGGGACTGTGGCATCTCTCCTGCTGTTCCCCATCACCAATGTCTCCAACACTGCATTCGTCCATCTGGATTGCTCTGTATGTTTTGATGCTTATTTTTCAAGAATTTCCTTTGTGCCAAACCTTTTTTTTAATCACCTCTCCTTTAAGAGGTAGCCTGCATTTAAGAAAGAGCAATCTGTCTGAATGGCTGACATGCCATGCTGTTTCCAAAATGCTTTGGCAATGTTGCAGCGAGAATACGAGGGCTGGAGACCCAGCTGTTTGCTGTACAATAATACAGACGATAAAACAAGAAATTGGTTAACCAACCTCAATCAAAAGAGGGATGGATAAAGTGAAAATTCAGTAGGCACCCCTCATTTCTAGCTCAGAAATCGGGATGTTTGAAAGCAGCACTTTGGTAGCAGCAAATTGGCAAAAAATTGAAAGAACTGCAGATGCTGGAAATCTGAAGCAAGAACAGAAAATACTGGAGAAACTCAGCAGGTCTGGCAGCATCTGTGGAGAGAAATCGGAGTTAACGTTTTGGTCCAGTGACCGTTCTTCAGAACAGGATGGTAAATTGAGTTAGATGTAGTTTAAACCTGGTCTTTTGTCTTGCTTTAATTCCCCTACTCTTCCCCCTTTTCGTACCCTCATCTGTTCAACTGTATAGATCTGACTATCTGTCTTTGGGTCAGGTTTATGCAAGAGACCAACATTTTCCATCTTCTATTAAAATCAGAGTGAGCCTGATTGTAAATGTCACTGCAGTTTGTCCTAAATTCCCCACTGTGCAACAACTTGCATTTAAATAGTGACATTATTGTTGAAAAGCATTGTAAAGTTCTTCTCAAGAGCACTGTCAAAATTTAACACCAAACTATTGAAGGGTAGGTCACCAAAAGCTTAAAAAGAGAAATGGCTTTTTAGGAGTGCCTTGAAGAGGAAGAGACCATGAAAGGATTTGAGAATTAGGATGTGACTTTTTAAAATATGACATTGCCACACCAGGAGCCCAGGTAGATCAGTGAGCATTCTGAATGGCTTGATGTGTTCCATTCCTAATACATGTATGTTTGCCTGCTCAGATATTCTGGAAGTCCTGAATGATATTGATGAGATGTCAAAGCGTCGAGTGGAGGTCCTCTTCTTCTTTGCTGTAAGTAGAACATAAACTAATTGTCTCTCAAAGCAAACAAGATTCAACCACCGTTTGCCTGCAGCATTTAATTAGCTCTAGAACTGTATAATGCCCGGTATTCTGCTAACAAGTGGAGCTGACTGATTTTGATTGCAGCTAATAATGTCTCTAGCTGTGAATTGTCAGTGAACAGCCTTTGAGAGAAAGCTGTTGTAAATATTGAAGCTGTCTGATATATTTGCATTGGCAGCAGTGGTGTGATGTAAACGATGCAGTGTTATTGCCTTTTAAGGAGCTGGGTCCTATTCCCTTACCTTTTCTCTCCATTTCTTTCTCTTCCCCATCTCTCTCTCTCTCTCTCTCACTCTCGCTGTAATGTCTTAAGTCTCATACCACAATAGCTCACAGATCCCAGTTACAAAAGTGGTGTCATTTCCCACTTTGTCCGGTCATAAACTGCCTGAACACTGTACCCAACCCAGTAGAGGTCACAGATGCTTCTCTCTGTACCTTCTGAATACTTACCATTGAAAGCTTGGATAGCAGGCTGTGTGCCTCAGTATACAGACTGTGTCCTGTTCTGACTACCAGGATTCATTGGAAGCTGTATAACTCTGGACAGCAGTAGATGTTAGCACACATCGTAACCCACCCAGCAAGGATGCTGATTTGGGTGAGACGCCCAATTTACTGCCATATCAATTGTGTGCTATATTAAATTCAGTGGAGAGTAAAATCTGATTGGCTTTAAGTCAATATCTGACACTAAACCTGCTCCCATTCCCTCCTTTTGAATTAGATTTTTTAGGGGTTTAAAATGAAAAGAGGAGAGAAGGTTTTCAGTGAAAGTAATTTATAAATCTAAAAAAAGAAACGTCAAAGCTACAGGGCAGAAGAGCATTTAAAATAAACTTAAACAGTGTGTTTCAGAAAGAAACAAGATGTTTAATGCTGGTGATGCGTAATTGAGCAAGGTCAAGTCATGAAGAAAGGTTAAAAGTTCAAATTAATGGTATTTTATTAGAATATATGAAGCATTTGTAATAAGCTGGATTAAATAATATCTTAAATAGAGATAAATGTGTTTGATGAAATAGCCATTACAAAAATATGATTGTGTGGTAACAACCAAAGTTGGGGACAATATATTCCAAAGTACTTGACGTTTCTGACAGAAAATCAATCATAAGTTGGGAGTGTGGTAGCTATGATAATGAAGGATGACATGAGGACAATGGTGAGGAGGGACCTTGGTTTGGATGATCAGAAGGTATCATCAGTATAGTGGAGAAAATAAATAACAGGATCAGAAAATGCTTTTTGGAGTAGTTAAGCGGTAACAGTATATATATTGTTGAACAGGAAATTAATCAAGCTAGAAGAGATATTGTAGCAAAGGCAATGCAATAATTGTGAGACTTCAATCTTCATATAGAATGAGCAAATTAGATTGTCAAAAGTAGTTTAGAGAATGAGTTCATGAAGTGAATCTGAAGCAGTTTCATAGAAAAACAATAGTGGAACTAAGCAACAAACAGACTAGTTTAGATTTTGTTTTGTTTGATTGGACTGGGTTAATTGGTAATCGCATTGTGAGGGCTCATCTAGGAAAGGGCAATCATAATATGATAGAATTTCATATTGAGTTTGAGAGTGACACAAACAAATCTAAAATTAGAAATTGAAATTAAGTAAAACAAATTAAATAGGTATGAGGACAGGTTGGCCAAGGCAAATTGGGAAATTCAATTAAAAGGCATGATTGAATAAGCAATAACAAAAATATAAAGAAACATTTCATCATTCTCAGCAATTCTACATTCCATTGAGTAATAAAATCTCCATGGGAGAAGAGATCAATCTGTTGCTAACTAAAGCAGTTAAAGATAGTATTAGATTATAAGAAGAGGCTTATAATATTGACAAGAAGGATAGTCAGACTGAGGATTCAGTGGTTTTAGATAGCAGCAAAGGTTGAACAAAAAAATCAATAAAGAGGGAGAAAATGGACTGAGGGTAAAGTAACCTAAGGAGAAAGGACAGATTTGAGATATTTTACAGGTATGTAAAGAGGAAGAGGTTAGTGAAAGTAAGTGTTGCCTTTTACAGAATTAAATAGGAGAAATTATAATGGGAATAAGCAAATGAAAGGCTTGTAATAAATATTGTGTTTGTCTTCACATTAAAAGACATTTTAAAAAAGAAACAAATAGTGAGGAACTAATGGCTTAATGAGTGAGGAACTTAAAGTAATCAATATAAGTAAAGGAAAAGTACTGCAAAAATTAATCTACAAATTCCTAGGACTTAACTGGTTGGATTTGGAGGATTTTAGAATTCAGCAAAGGAAAGTCAGTAAGTTAGTGAAGAGAAAGTAAAAAGAATATATGAATATACTAGCAAGAGACATAAAAGTAGATTGTAAACACTTCTACTTGTGAATGGAAAGAAATTAGCAAAAGTAAACATGACCCATTAGAGACAGAGTGATGAAATTATAACCAGGAATAAGGGAAAAATCCCCCCCAAACCTGATGACCTGCATCCTAGGTAGCTGCAGAGATAATAAATGAGTTGGTTTTGATGTTCCAGAAGTCCTTAGATTCTAGAACAGTTCCTGCAGCTTCAAACAAAACAGACATTACCCTGCTGCTTAAGAAAGGAGGAAGAGAGAAGACGGGAGCTACAGGACAGTTTGCTTAAAATCAGCAGTAGGCAAAATGCAAGAATCTGTAAATTTGGACACGATAAGGGCAGAGGTAAGATCAAAATAAGATTAAGTAGAGTCAACTCCAATTTATGAAGGGGAAATCCTATTTACAAATCTGCTTTTTGAGGATTTAGTAAGAGGATAAGGGCGAACTACTGTACATAGCATGTTGGACTTTCATAGAAACATAGAGTAAGATGACACACTAGAGGCCACAGTTTTCACATGAATTTATTTGTCCATTCCAGGCATAGAGCAGGTCAAGAGTATAGCAGTTTAAATCGAAAAGAGGGTGAATATGCTTACATTCCTGTAACAGTCCCCATCACCAACTCCAGTTCCCCTGGCCCCATCTCTAATACCCACCCAGCACCCCTGACTCCTCTACTGTGGTTGCTCACTTCAGCTGAAGTCAGAAATAATGCTTGATAGAGGAGAGAAACTAAAGGATGTTAGGGACCAAGTGGAGAGGAGGCTGAGTTTGTGGATCTAGGGATGCCAGATGCTGCAATTAAAACTACATCAAATAGAAAATTATTAAAATCCCTGCCAGTCTTTGAACTGAAGACAGACTTCAAGGGGCATGTCATCAGCTTGTGATGTCAAGAGCATAGCTATTTGTGATGATGCTAGACCTCTCCAGCCTTCTTTGTTGGACTTGTGCGGCAGCAGAACATAAGATCCAAGAGAGTGAGTAGGCAATTCAGCCTCTCGAGCCTGCTGCATCATTTAACATGATCATGGCTGATCTCATCTTGGTCTCAACTTCACTTTCCTGCCTCCTCTCCATAACCTTTTAACTCATTACTAATTATAAATCTGTCTATCTCCCTACACCACTGCTGTCTGGTGTAGTGAATTCTACACATGCACGACCCTTTGAGAGGAATAATTCCTCCCTTTCTCTGTTTTAAACTTGCCCAACCCTTAGCCTAAAGTCATGACCTCCTGGTCTAAACTACCCCACAAGGGGAAACATCAGTTCTAGGTCTACGTTATCAATCCCTTTAGTATCTTATACAATTAGATCTCCTCTCATTCTTCTAAACTCGAACAAGTATAGGCCTAAATGGCTCAATCTCACTTCATAAGACCGGTCTTTCATCTCTGGAATTAATCTAGTGAACTTTCTCTGAACTGCCTTCAATGAGGTCACATCCATACTGTCAGCTACAGAGAGGTGGATTATAGATTTACATGCTGTCATCAGCAAATGCCTGTGCTCTACCACTGACTGTAAGACCTGAGCCTGCATATTGGCATGGATTAAGAATAGTTAACGGACAGAAAACAGAGTGGGACTAAATGGGACATTTTTGGAGTGGCCAGCTGTATCTACCAGTACGAAAAAGATCAATGGCTATTTACAATCTATATCAGCAATGTGGATGGAGTAATGTGCCAAGTTTCAGGTTTGCTGATGATACTAAGTGATGAGAAGAAAAGCAAAGGGCCTCGAAGGTCAAAATACTTCATATTTTCTAAGAGCTCCTCCTGACACTTTCTGAAGGGCTATTTTTTGATATTGGGGTTCTATCTTAGTTTTCAGTGGCTCCTTTATTGTTTTCAGTAACACTTTTATTAGGTGATGCTGTCATGTGGTAACATTACCTTCTGTATTTGTGATGATGTAAGGGAAAATTAGTTTCAGACAGAAGCAGAATTAGAAGGATTGATCAGTATCCTCAGTCATTACTACACCTTTAAACATAAAGCCACACCACACAAGGAAAACATTGATTTCCTAAACCTCACAGAGCTTAAAGATAATGGGCATAACTTGAGCAGAAAATGCTGTTTTTTAAAACAAAACTGGTGTAGACTTTTAAGAACAAGAAACCATCACCCTAAATGCGTTTTCGTAGACTGGTGGATAGCTAAGCAGTTGGGGGTTTGTCTCTAACGCAGTGACAGTATTGCAAGGAATTTACAGTATGTGAAGTACTTTGAGATTGATACATATAAATGCAAATCTTCATAAAATAAAGCTATTCAATATTAAATTGTCCATTTGACTGTGTTCATTATAATGGCATCCACTGAATCTTTCCCCATAGAGATCCCTGAACCTCTGCACCCTTAAGCTAAATACTGCAAGGAATTCATGACCTCAGTGACTTTATTTTCTTGGTTCTCAGTTTCTGAACATTCAATTGTTGAAAGATTTAAAACTGTACTCTTTCTTGCAGCCCTTCTGTCCACTTAATTAACCCATGTTCTTCTTGCATCCCTTGCCCCACTTTAGCAGCCTCTCTGCTCCCCACCCCCCATGCATCCTCTCTGTCCCCCACCCCATTTTAGCCCCTCTTTTCCTCCTTTGCCACCTTTCTGTTTATCCCCAGCCCCCCATGTCTCCCCCACATCACCGCTCTTGTTCAGTTTGTGGGATAGTAGGTAGCATATGGGGGTCACTTTGACGGGAAGACCACAACATGTTTCAATTTGTGGAAAACGGTTAACTGTCAATGTAAAAAGAATTTGGGTAGCTTTATAAAAGAAGCCTAAAGTTAGCATGGTGGTACATAAACTAATTGGGAAAGTAAATACTGGTCATTATTGCAAAGCATCTGGAATAGAAGGGCAGGGAAATCATGCTGCATGTTATAGGACTTTAATGAGACCATACCTGGAGTAGTACGTACAGTTTCATCATCGTTAGAGGGGGTGAAATGAGGTTAATTCCTGCCTATTTTATGAGGAGGGATTAAGATAAATAGGATAATACTCTGGAGTTTAGAAGAATGAGAAGTGATATCATCAACACTTTTTAAGATGGTTTGTCAGGTTAGATGCTGACAGGATATTTACCCCCAGCTGCAGAGTCCAGAACTAAGGAATATGGTCTCAGGTCAAGGTGCTGATTGAGATTCACACAAGGGCAATATCACTGTGAATCTTTTAAACGCTGTACCTCAGTGAGAGACAGGTGCTCAGTTATTGAGTATATCCAAGATTGAAATTGTTAGAGCTTTGGACTATGTAAGGGAATTGAAGAATGTGCAGATATAGGATAGGAAAATAACAAGGATCAGCCATGAACTAATTGAAATGATTAACATGTTGCTTTGCAGCGAGAGGTAGCCTACATCTATGGGCATAAATGGATGTTGTGCTCCTGCCTGGAGTGTGATTTGTAGTCCACTACCAAGATGAAGGGTCTAGGCCCGAAACATCAGCCTTTCTGCTCCTATGATGCTGCTTGGCCTGCTGTGTTCATCCAGCTCTGCACCTTGTTGTCTCTAAAATTCAGACATTGCCAGTTTTGTTACGGTCTCACCATCTCATGTGACCAGTAGAACAAGGGGAGCATATTAACACCTTCACTGGCTTGAACTCTTACCTGCCTGACCAAGTTAGTGGAGGGAAATTCACTTCAGCCTGGAACCCTAAATTATAATCTTCTAGACAATGAGGACCATCACCTTGGGTATAGCCTCCCATAGTGTGAACTTAGCTGTTGCTGCACTGAAAGCTTTCTTGTTTTTTTACAGAATGATCTGCAACGGTTAATGAGCTCCCCGGAAGAACTGTCACGAAATGCAGCATTTGCCTTGGCCATGAGGAGTATCCAGAGCAATCCACGGTAAAGGAGGGGGAGAAGGATAGCCATGCAATTGCACAACATTTACCACGATGCTAAAACACACTGCAGCCAATGAATTATTTCTTGAAGTGTAGTTTATTATAATAAAGGAAACAAGGCAGTCAATTTATTGCAGACCAAGCTCCCTCAAAAGGCAGTGACATAATGACAAGATAAATGTTTTCTAAATGAGATCTTAAGGTGGATGAAATATTTGAAATATTTTCTAGGACACCAAGCAAACTCCCCTGGTAATGTGGAATCCAAGGTTAAATTACAAGAAGAGATTACAGAACTATAGTTGTAGTCTCTGGGTATTTTGGTCAAAGCTTTCCAGATATTTAAGGTAAACGGTAGTATAGGATAGATAGAGGAACATTTATTCTGCTGGTTGGGGAGTTTAGGACTAGGATATAGTCTAAAAACTTAGAGCCAGATCTTTCTAAGAAATTATGAAACACTTCATTAATAAAAATCATGTTTGAAGCTTGGAGCATTCTCCCATTGGCACCATTGTGCTAGTTCATTTGTTAATTTTAAATCTGATGTCCTCATATTTCTGTTAATATTAAGGGATATAGGCCATTGAGTGATGTTGCAAATTAGCCATGATGCCACTGATTGGCAAAATGGGTTTGAGGGATTAAATGGTCTCTTCCTTGATTATATTCCTTCTCTAAAATAATGCTGCAGGCTCTTTTAATGTCCGACTGAAAAGTCATACGAAACTTTCCTTTAGCCTCCTATCAAAAGCAAAGTTAGTAATGTTTTAAGGGTGCCCCTCTTTCCAGGCACCATTTTGGACAAGCCAAGATATATGTAAAGAGCAGCGGTGTGTCTGTGTTCTCCCTGTACTGTGCCAGGTGTGACTGTTCAAATGCTATCAGAGACCCAAACTGTTGCTGTTTTGATGAGTAGTTTCTGTATTAGAACCATATAGTTTTCGAGAAAATTTGTAGCCCAGGTTATGGATGAGGTTGTAGACATGCTCGCTGAGCCGGTGGGTTTGGTTGCAAACATTTCGTCACCCTGCTAGGTAACATCGTCAGTGCCCCTCCGGTGAAGTGTCGGTGTTCTGTTCCACTTGTTATTTATCTTTCTTGGTTTGCTAGGGTGATTGGTATTACTTCCCGTTCTGTTTCTCAGCAGTTTGTACATGGGGTTTAATTCAATGTGTTTGTTGATGGAGTTTGGGTTGGAATACCAGGCCTCCAGGAATTCCCTGGCGTGTCTCTGTTTGGCTTGTGCGATTATGGATGTGTTGTCCCAGTCGAATTCATGTCCCTTATTGTCCGTGTGGTCTCTTGATGGCTCGTTGGTGTTCGTGTATCCATATTGTCAATTTTCTTCCAGTTTGGCCTAGCATAGGCAAAATACATCAAATTAGACCCTGTGTACAAACCACTGAGAAACAAAACCGCAAGTAATACCAACCACCCAAGCAAACAGAGTCATGTAAATAACAAGCAGGACAGAACACCGATGCTTCACCAGAGGGGCACTGACGATTTTACCTAGCAGGGTGATGAAACATTTGCAACCAAATCCACCAGCCCAGCGAGCATGTCTACAACCTAGAACCTCATAACATACAAACGTTTGTATGTCCCTTTGCTGCAGCCTCCACATAGTATCACACTGTATTTCCTGTTTGCTGTATTATGAGACTGTTCCTGTTCTCAAAATAAACACTTAGCACTGACTGCGCAGTTAAATTTGTTCGATTTCCTTTTCCAGTACTGCTGCTGATTTTCTTCCAACTTTCATGTACTGTCTCGGTTGTGGAAATTACGATGTGGTGCAGACAGCCCTGAAGCACCTTCCAGAATATGCGCTGCTCTGCCAAGGTAAAATCGCTGAGTCTCGTAGTCCAATCTTGAATTTCGTTTATCATGCAAAGAAATCTTTAAATTTAGTCTTTAGTTTTAAGCTACCCACCCCTGCCCCACAAAACCACCAATGCCAATTCTTCCCCTGCCTTTCTCATGAGCTATGGTGCCATGGAGCAATGAGCCCACCTCTTGCCCCCCTTACTCAAAACCACCACCACTGCACACTTTGGTCACGTAATTATTGTATGCCTGCCAAAAGGGTTTTGTAGCCATACCTATAGCGACAAACACAGAACATGCTGGAGAAACTTAGCAGGCCTGACAGCATCTATGGAGAGATGTTCTGTAAAAAAAGATTTATACCAGACTTGAAATGCGAACTCTGTTTCTCTCTCCGCAGATGCTGTCAGGCCTGCTGAGTTTCTCCAGCATGTTCTGTGTTTGTTTCAGATTTACAGCATCTGTAGTCTTTTGCTTTTACGTTTTCGGTGGTAACTGCTAATCCTTGGAGTATTGAACTTAACTAAAGCATGTGTCATGCCCCACTTGAAAACTGAGTAATTGCACAGACTGGGGACCTTCCAAGACTCTACTGACAACTATATTTACCTGTCAAACTGTTGGAACTTCTTACATGCATGCAGATACTATCTTGATGCTATTACTGATCAGTTTAATTGCTTTGATTTGGCTGGTAGAGGTCCTGCCTCTCATTTATGCCAGTCATTCATTCTTTACCGTGTTCTGTTCACAGAGCATGCAGGACTCCTCTTGCACAAAGCCTTTCTGGTCGGAATGTACAGCCAGCTCGACACAAGCCCACAGATTGCAGAGGCCATGAAAATTCTGCACATGGAAGCCACAACTTAATGATTGAACAGTATAAACAGACTGTGGACTTGGATGCGAGATCAGACATGATTGGAGGCATCAGAGAGGAAATACTGTCACCACAAAGTCATTGCAGGCATCTTATACATTCCACA